GAAACGAAAATAAGAACGGGCAAACCGCCCGGAGCCGTAATCAAAATGTATGTACACAGATGAAGAGGGGGAAGAGACAAAGAAACAGCAAATCCATGTCTATCGATCTCAACTTTCTCCTCATCTCTCTCTCTCTCTCCGATGCGGACAGTCCGTCGTCACGCACCCACCCACGAAGTTGTCACCCCACTTAGTCCTCCCGCACCCGTCGGATTCGCTCGTGCCCACAGTCCGTCGTGGCCCACGTCAATCCCGCGCATTCGGCACCAGCCCATCAGGTCGCCCAACTCCTACTCTACTCACCTCTTACTTCGCTCGTGTGCCGACCGTTCCTGATCGCGCAACCCCGAGCTTCCAACAACGGGTTAAGAGAGCTGACTAATCGCGCAACCGAAATTTATAGCGTGCATGCATGCGCGAAGAACACGGAGTTACCAAGACTTAGAGTAAAGATTAGAGAGGGAACGCCTGCGCTCTGCATGATCGGCCGCGGCGTGGGGGACGTAACCCTTGTCCACGCATCGATCCGAGCATGCAAGCCGCGACTTACAAAATTTCAGCAAAATTAAGAGAGGGAGGGCGGGAGAGACGAAGTGCAAGAAGAGAAATACAGTTACAATAACGTCCGCCCAAAATTACAGTTACACACGCGATTAAGGGCGCCTGCTAATCAGAGTTCCGTTGCAGCCGCATGAAGAAGCGCGTAAACAAAAGGCGCTGCGTGGCAGGGAAAATCCTAATTACTAAATTCCTAAATTCCTATCTAATGCGAGAAAGTAAAAAGAAGCACAAATTCAGAAGGAAAGTACGAAATTCCGAGAGCCATCGGGGGCTCAACAAAATTCGAAAAAGATTCAAGAGGAATTTCAAAAAGGAACGAAGCAATTTCCTGCGCGATGTCCGCGCCCAAAAGATTGAAAACCGAACCAAAAGAAACGACGTCGACATAAGTCTCGCGCGCGCGTGGCGTCGCGCCAAACAACTATCCGACCAATCAATCCACCGCCCGTCCCAGGACACACCCAGCCTCGAAGAAGTGATGAAAAAGACGAAGAAGCAAGGGTACTGATGCAATTTTCCACCGATCCCGATTTCCCGCTATTGGCCCAATCTTCCCAGCTTAGGACCCCTAGTTGCAACCGGGCAGAAACTCGCGCGTTACAGAAAGTGGTTTGTCACATATGTGACGCCCAGGGGGTTCCAATATTAGCAAGCTCCTGCTTGCTTGTTGACAAGTGTCAATTTCTCTAATCGATCGACACGCGGAGCACTTCTCTTTATGTCACTTACCGTTCGATTGTGTGCGGACGTCATGCAACGTGGCAACTTTGCTCTTCTACTACTTCCTTAGATTGGGCTCTCGACAGTCCAAGGACGGGATTTTTCTCGTGCCGTTACCGCGACACGCATCCATTACCGGTTGCATCACTAATTAACTGGAAGGGGAAAAGGGAGCCGGTGCATGGCGGCATGGCGGGGTGGAGGGCTTAGGGGTAGCGGGGGCAAGAACCTTTCCATCCCGGCTGCAGATTCTGGAAGCGCTTGGTAGCGGACGATGCGGTGGAAGCGGGGGAAACGGTTGCCAGTGCGAGGGAGGGACGCGAGGTAATCAAGATAGAGGGTGGTGAGAGTTCGGAAAACTGCCGCACGGAAACGATCGTGATCTTCGCAGGCGGGGATGGTCTCCGTTACTATGCAATAAACCTCGATCATATTGTGGCCTCGCCACGCGGCACCGAGGAGCAAAACATGGAGGCAGAAGGTTGGGACGACACACTGAATGGAGGGGTGGGGGTGCACTACTATAGCGAGGCGAGCAACATAGAAGTGGCGAAAGGTATCGCGAAAAAACGGGTTGGAGGGGAACGTGATGGGGGTGGTGAGCTGGCGGAGGGTGAGGTAGTCAAGAGGGCGACGAGAGAGTAATTGGGGACGAAACCCGATCGCCCGTATCGGTACGTCGGCGAACTGGGGGACGGGTTGCGGAGGAGGGGGATCGGCTCCTTCGCCGCGTTGATGGGGTCGGAGTCGTGGTCGTGAGGTCGCCATGTTCTGGTTGGGGCGGCTCCGGATCTTGGTTTGGGTCGTCGTGGACGTGTAAGCTTGCCCCGCTCGCAAACTCTAGTTCCCTTTTCCCAGCCGCGGTTTCTTCTCTTTTGCGGGCCGCCTCCGGATCTTCAGCCTCCGTGCCCGTGCGCATCGTTTCTTCCGGCGCAGCTTCCCACTCCGATTCCGTAGGTCCTTCGTTCTCCTCTTTTCCTTCGTCATCTTCTTCTTCTTCTTCGCTCTGCTCCCCCTCGCTATGCTTGCTATAGTTTCCTTCTTCGGGGGTTTCGTCCTCTTCTCCGAGTACTTCGTCGCTTTTCCCACTTTCTTCCCGCTCGTCTTCTCCTTCGTCACTCTCAGTGCTTTCTTCCTCCTCTTCTTCCTCTCGAATGGCAGCAAGCTGCTCTGCCGCTGGGTGCCTGAAGAAGGCAGGATCACAAACCGTCCGGGGATCCAAATACTGCTGCTGCGACGGCGGGATGCGCGCTGCGGCTCCCTCCACACAAGCCGACCACTGGAGATACGGCGTCAACGTGCGAGAAAGTACGTGAGGAATCGGATGCTCGTCGTCTTGCGAGATGATGTCGAGAGGGAGCTCGTCCGCCAGCTGCGCTATCGGGATCGCGAGCTCTTGCGCGATGAGCTCCTGATGTCTGGGCCGTACTGTGCCGAACAGAAACGCGAGGAGTTCTCCCTCCACGTTGGTTCGCCAAGCCTGGATGAACAACAACTCCAGGCACTCTATGCAAGGCGGGCGCGCCTCGTCCTCGGTCCACGTCAGTCGTACCTCGACTAAGCACAGTGAAAGCTCGACGAAGTCTTCGCGCCACAGCTGCCAGTGTGGGGGATGAATGTCGGGGACAGCAAGGGTCGTTAGACAGTAGGAAAGGTGAGGATGGATATCGGACTGCCAAAAGGTGGGGAGAGTAGAGGGGAGATAAAAAACGAAGATCGGAGAGAGACTCATTGGGGGCGAGGGAAGGGAACAACAACAGGGAGAACCGCCGGCGGTTCACGTTGGTACATCCGAAGGCCATCGTATTCGATCGCTCGTGTCGGCGCGACTGTGTTCCCGGGGCGAGCCAGAAGCTAGGTCCACTCAGCAACCAGATCGTTCGCCCAAGCGCGTAGCGATGTCCTCACCGCCGTATGTCGTAAAGGGAGGAGCGTGGAGAGATCGCCACGGAAGTTGATGACGACCGATATGCGGCTGACACCTGGCACCGCTCGCTGATGAACTGCTACTGCCTCGGCCAGTACCACTGCGTTGGGCCGACCCTCAATTCTGAACACCGCCGTTGCATACACGCCTCCCGTGCAGAGAAAGTGCGCAAGCCGCCGGAGATCTGGACTGAGATGGGGATGATAGACTTGCCGGATCATCAATCGATCATGGGGTGCAAGCGATGCTTCGCTGAGGGCTCTTTCCTCCAGAAAACTCATGGCGATGGCGATGGAGACGGAGAGGCAGAGAGGGAGCAAGAGGAAGAGGGGGATGGCGGAGAGTCAGAGTTGTCGTCTTCGGCCTCCTCAGAAGGGGAGATCGAGGGAGACGGAGCAGAGGGGAGGAGGCGAAGATAGGACACGTGGCGTGTGATCGGGCGGGCTGATCGGCTGCTAGAGACTTCCGGGGCGAGACGCACAGTGTCCATGCCGTTGGGGCCGAGCTCGATCACGCGATATCGCCTGAAGAATCGTGGCGCTAACTTACCCTGGCGAGCACATTTCCTCACCTGCACCACGTCCCCCAATTTGTACTGGGGCCGTGGACCCGCATTCCCATTTCGGGCCTTGTAGTTCCGGATCTGTCGGCCTTGGGCTAGTTCAGTCATTTTCTGTCGTTTTCGGGCTAGCCTAGGCAGTGACCGTTCCATTAGCTCTAGGTGCCGTTTGGCCTTATCCCTAGTCGTGGCCCTGGTGGGTCATCGGTTCAATGTAGACTCGTCCGGAAGGCTTGGTATTGAAACGCAAGCGACGCTATTGGTCCTTAATTGGAAGGGGCTCAGCCCCGTTGATTCGTGAGGCGTTCCACGATGGACCGCCAGGATGTGATCAACGATGTCGGGCCAGGGCCTCGGATCCCGTGCTGCGATATTTCGTTGCAATGCGGTCTTTATCACCCGGTTGGCGTTTTCGACCAGCCCATTGGATTGTGACATGTGGGGTGTGGTGTTCCGTATGGCGACGCCATGTATGACCAGACTCTTTAACACTTCTCCTCTAAATTCAGCCCCGTTGTCGGTCAGGATCTCTTCCGTATCCTGATGCATCCCGAGGAAATGGTTGACATACCGCGCGATTTCCGTGGCTTGCCGCGTGCGACAAGGATACGCTTCGATCCATTTCGAGAAATGGTCGACAAATACCAATAGGATTGAATATTCGCAGCTATTAGGGCAAGGGGGCACCACTATGTCGGTAGTGTCCATGCTCACTCCTTGAAATGGTCGTTCAACAACCATGGGCACTATCGATCTTGGCGGCTGAATCGGCGCCTTGTCAGCGGCGCAGACTTGACAGTTGGCGACAATGTATTTCACATCGTCACGGATATTGGACCAATACCACTTATTTTTGTCGATAGTGGACTCCGTGATTCGTACGGCAAAATGAGCTGCAGTTTCCTCGTGGGCTGTCTTAACCCAGTCGTACCGCATGAACGGATGCGGCACTACCATCCAAATCCCACCGCCGCCCGTTTTCCGTTTTTCTAATCTACCCTCTATCCATCGATAATCCTGAGCCCTTTCGTTGGCCCTCCTCCGATCTTCCTTAGTGAAATCCTGGAGGGGGTTACCTACTAGGGTGGCAATCAAGGCAATATCCGTCCATACTTTGGCCCTTCTAAACTTCCGGGTCTTTTCCAATCCTTCTGACGTGGCATCCAAAAAGCGAGCCTCGGTCGGAATCTTGTTAGTCCGGCACAAGGGGCACAACCACGGTTTACTATCGTTTCTGTATTGGATGCACGAGCCATGGGCTCGTGCGACACACTGTCGACAATCTATCCAATCGACATACCCTTCTCCATTAGGACACGTGGAGACCGAGTATACGCGGGAGATGGCTTCGCAAAAATAGCAAAATTTGTCAGGCAGGGAGAGGAGAGTCGAAGAGGAAGGGGGGGAGAGAGGGGTAGTGGGGTTACCTCCGTCATCCATCGCCACCGTTTGGCTTCTTGCCACGTGGGAGGACTGCTACTTGTCCATACTTAGGCTCGTTGGTCAGGTCCGGCTCCTTCCACGGTGTAATTTCCTCGCCCTTTGGTACCCTGACAGGTCGGTGCAGACGTGTCAGCCCGTCCACGTCGCCGTGTCGCTCTGTCTTTCGATGGACGATATCGAAGTCGTTTTCTTGCAATCGCACCGCCCAACGGCCAATCATGCCCGTGTAGTTGGTGAGCTTCTTTAATGCCAGCCGAGACTTGTGATCCGTTATGAGGCGAAATTTCTGGCTATAGAGGTACGGATGGAAGTGCTGGATTCCCCAAACTACTACATAGCACTCGCCTTGAGGTGCGGAGTCGTTTCTTTGTTCGTCCGGTACGGTTCGAGACTCGTACTCAATGGCGTGTTCTCGACCATCGTTCCCCTTCTGGGCTAAAATAGCGGAAATAGCTTCCGGTTGCCAGTCGGTGATGAGGATGAACTGCTTCGAGGGGTCCGGCCGAATCAAAATAGGGGCCGTTGCCAGAGCGTCTTTGAGGGTTGCAAAGGCCTGCTGGCACTCCGCGTCCTAACTGAGAGGTTGGTCCTTCCGTAACAGGTTCGTTAGCGGTCGTGCAATCGCGCCAAAGCCCTTGATGAAGCGCCGGTAGTACGACGCCAGTCCCAAGAAGGCTCACACCTGCGTAAGTGACGTGGGAACCGGGGCTTCCTTCACCGCCGCAACTTTTCTCGAGTCCGGCCGCAATCCTCCACGTGTCACGACGTAGCCTAATAACGAAATTTCTGAGAGGAAAAATTCGCTTTTCTCGAGTGCAATCTTGAACCCAGCATCTCTCAGTGCGCCCAATGTCCATTCAATATGTTGCGCGTGTCCGTGATAAGTCTCCGAATAGACTAGGATGTCGTCCATGTAGACGATCACGCAGAAGTTAATCATCCCTTGCGTCAGTCGTGTCTTGTTGACGAAATTCTGGAATGTCATGTTCATTGCTCCCTGAAACGTGGCAGGCGCATTGCAAATCCCCATCGGGCATCGAACCCACTGCCACGTGCCCTCAAACAACACAAAGGCCATTTTTGGTCGATCTTCTTCCCTTACGAGAATATGATGGAAGCCATGCCGAATATCAAACTTGCTGAAATAATTAGCACACCCAATCGCATCCAACAGATCATCAATCCGGGGGAGGGGATACACATCTTTGATCGTGATTTCATTCAGCTTATGATAATCAATGCAAATGCGAATCGCCCCGTTTTTCTTTGGCACTAATACTACGGGAAAGGACCAAGGTCTGGTAGCAGGTTCAATCCAACCACTGGCTTCGAATTCCCGAATTCGTTCGAGAGCCTTTTGGAGTTCAACCAAGGAATAGCGATAAGGTTTGCAATGAATTGGGGGGTGATTTCCTGTCTGAATTTCATGTCGGATTACTAACGACAACCCGATGTCAGTGTCTGACATACTAATTGCTCCTTGGTATTCCATTAGAATATTCGCAATTACCCGGTGAATTTCATCCGGCATATATTGTGGAACGTGCAGTTCGAAAAGTTGGTCCCCGATCCGAACGTCAATCTGTTTCGTGTTCGCCTGTTTTGTCGAATCGGGTGGAGGCGCCGAGATGAATAAATGATCCGATCGCCAGGAGAGCACCGTGACCATCATCTGAGCATCTTCTTCTCGGATTGCCACGTGTCCTTCCGGGGTAATTCCGTCACAAACATCTTGCCATGGCACTTCCTTAGTTGTGATTTTTATCCGTAGTCCGTCTGTTTCTGCTTCAAAACGCCCAGGGTGTTCCAGAGAGCTTGCTTCCGCCCCCAAGCGCAACAATTTTACTTCTTTAACCGATGTTAGTACAGACTTAGGTAGTTCCGTAATGTCGCAAAAATGTTTTTTGTCGCTGTACCTGGCGAGGAGAGGGGTGATTCCTTCGTACAAAGTTTGAGGGGGCTCCAAAGAATCGACCATCCTCGAAATCTGTACGAGGGGCTCGCCTAAGATCATCGCCTTGGTCCTTTAAATTTTTCGGCCGGTCAGTTGCATCGTTCTCGCTATCGTTTTGGGCGGTGGGTAACAAACGCGTTGTCGTGCCAATTTCAAGATTTCCGGATCATCCTCGTCACTGCTTTCCGCATCTTCAGTTGATGACTTTCCTTCTGCGGGTTCGTCCCAGGAGATCATGCGGAGAGTCCCTGCCATCATTGGTGAAACCCGCGGAACCACGTTAATAGCAGTGCGAAGGGTCAATCGCATGGGCACAGCGTAAGGTTTTCCTCCTGTATTTCGGAGGACGATCGCTCGTCGTTCGAAATCCAGGTTTGCTCGTAACGCCACAAGAGCGGGAAGTCCGAAAATAACGTCGTACGTATTAACATGTAGTACTACGACATCCCCAAGCGCGTGTAGTTTTCCTAATCGGAAGGCGACATTGGTCATTCTCCCCACAGTTTTTATCTTTTCCTCATCTGCCGAGACGAGCTGATCTTTCTCGGTGAGCATGATCAGATCGTTTTTCTTGCCTGCCCTTTCGACCACTCTCAGTGAAATAGCCAACACAACTGCTCCCGAGTCTATAATCGCGTTGTAAGGAATTCCCCAAATTTCTATATCGCACTCTGCAGATTTCCACAGAATGGGTTTAATCCGTAGGAAATGATCGTCTTTTTGAATTAATCTTATCCGTATCGGATCCGGAGTGTTTTTGGGTTTTCTTCCGGCGCGGGGCCTTTGGCTTTTACATTCAGTGCTCGGGCGAGAGCGAATCGCTTTCGATTCGCTTTACAGTGTTGTAACATTCGCTCGTTGGCTTGCTCGGAGATCGAGAGTAGGTGACCGATTGGAAGGGGAATCCGATGGTCCAAAGCTCGGACGATGTTTAATACATCGATCTCTCCTGTGACGAAGGTGGGTCCTCCCGACTCCATTTCTCCTAAGGACGGTCGCCATTCCGCCACCTTTTTTGATTCGGGCGCTGGTCTGATTGTTTCGATCATTCCTAGCCCAGGATATCCCAGCGATGCATACTGATCTAGTGGAATTAGCTCGGCGGCCTCTTCCGTGGTGGCCAAAACACTTCCCCCACCCTCTACTACTTCCATCAAGGCTCCGACTCGTCCAGGTCCGTTTGCGATGGGGGCCGCAGCCATAGGTGCGACTCCGATCCGCTGTTGTGGGGGTCGGTGGGGGCAATCACGGGCTAGATGTCCGGGCTGATGACAGGCGTAGCAAACATTCAGATTGTTCGCAGTTCCTCCGAGAGCAGAGGCAGGGGCTAATCCTTGTTGCATCGGAGGGGCACGCACCGCAATAGGTTGCATGTTCCTCATCATGGCTTCCAACCGAGCATTGGGCTCTCGCTGTTCACTTTTGCTTTCTTGGATCAAACTAATCAAAGTTTTGGTTAGTTCGAAAATGACCTCCGATTCATTTGATCGTACAGGAGCCTCTACCGGCGGTGGGGGTAATGCCCTGACGGGCGGGGGCATCATAGGAGCAGAGATGCTCGGAGTCTCACTTAGGATTACTCGTTTGGGGGCTATTTGTTCCATATAGGTGACAAGTCCTGATACGAACCCCATGTTTTCAAATTTGTTTTGTAAAGCAGCCAGCTCTGCTCTTGCTCGAGCGAGCTCAGTCAAATCTCCATCTCTAAGGTAATCTTGTCCTTCCAGGAAGTTCGCCGCGAACTTCCGTTCCATTTCTTCCGCATCAACTATAACTTGTTGAAGCGTATGGGTGATGGGGGAAAACTGCTTTCGCAACTTAGCCCTTATTGTTCGACTGCGGAGTCTGTCAATGAACAAATCTCTCCCTACTTGCTCTCCTCGCTCAATTTTTACGAACATTCGGTAGAACCGGTTTCGATATTCCGCGACGGATTCGAGAGGTTTTTGCACTCGGTCCTTGATCATGTACAACGCTTGCTCAGGGTGAACATAATCAAATCGATTCATTAAATCCCGTTCGAAGGTCGGGAGATCCACCCATATATAGGTACTATACAAATGATGAGCGTCTCCTTACATTCGAGCCAGAATGTTGATCTGTGCCTCGTGATCATCGTACTGCTGTGCTCTAAGCGTGGCCAACCATGCTCCTGCGAGATGGTGCGCCGGGTCAAATAGATAGAGATCTGGTGGCGACATGGAAGCTCGTGCACGTGGGGCAGGTTGATTAGGTGGGTTAACATTTTGTTGCGGAACTGGATTTGAACGTTGGCAGCCATATTGGCTGCTCGTCGATTCGCCAATCTGCTTCTGGTGACGATAGGGTCGCGTCTGGGCGCGTTCCGAGGGCGAGGTCGCCCGCGGTTAGCCAGGTCGCTTAATTAACGTGTTATCAATCCTAAGAACCTAGCCACGTGTCGGGCTCCAATACCAGCCTCACGCCCAACGCGACTTCCTGATCGGAGTGGGGTATGGGCCTGGAAGTGCGAAAAAGGGGTGTGCCAAGGATTTTTGGGAAAAGTGGGGGAGTATTAAGGGTATGAATGCAATTAGGCGAGCGCGCGCAAGGGCCTCACGGTCCGATGGGGCCGGGACACTGTGGGCGACGGGTTACGGAAAAATTCCTCCGTGGTGGAGGTGGTCCTGAAAAGTTAGGCCGTCGGGGGCCGCCACGCGGCACAGGCCACCGCGTACCTGGGTTGGGCCTCCGAAATTCCGGAGTGTTCTGCGCGCCGTTGCGTCGGCAGTTCATGCAAAACGTATTGGGTCAATAGGGGGCTATAGCCGGCCACGGAACGACACTAAGTTGATGATACGGGAGAAGGAGGAGGAAAGGAGGGAAACTGGTGGTGATCTCAACGAATCCTGGGTGGGTGAAGTAGTATGTGTGGTCAGGGGAAGGGAAATCGGAGCACCGAGGGTCGATAGTGGTAGCACAATGAAACTCCTGAGGACATAACCGATTCTCCGTGTGACAGGGGTATCGTGTCCTTATGAGCTCGTTTATTATAGGGGTGAAATAGTCTGGGTCATAGGACGAGTCTGAGTTCCAAGATCGCGTCATGGTATCATCGTCGGTGGGATAACACAGGTCAGATTTTCGTCACCTCGTACAAGCACGTGCGGGACAGGCCGGTTCAGTGGCGCCTCAGCGTGCTCGTACGGGATGATGGTTCCACCGTGACTCCTTTCTGGGGGAGCGAGTCGTCGCACGGGAATGAGTGTAAGGGCGCGACTCGGGATCGCGTTTACATGTGTTCTCGCATGGCGTCTCGCGGAGCCAGACCTCGGACCGTTTAATTGCTTCAGATTATGTCAGATGCAACCATATCACAACTCTCATCGTGAGATAAGCAAAAACGAGGACAAAATCGCTATCGGGGCCATATTCCTTTCCCATCTACAGCTGCATCAGGTGGGGGCAAARATTCGACACAAACAAAAGGCAAGGACAKRGATTCTCAACAAAAAGATATATAGACAGGCATAACGTCCACATATCCACACATTCCTACATTCATACATTCGATAATCATACGTATAGTGCCATAGCAAAGATAAGTGTGAGCAAACACCCAAGCCCAAATCTCAGAAAGCCGAAACGAAAATAAGAACGGGCAAACCGCCCGGAGCCGTAATCAAAATGTATGTACACAGATGAAGAGGGGGAAGAGACAAAGAAACAGCAAATCCGCGTCCATCGATCTCAACTCTCTCCTCCTCTCTCTCTCTCTCTCTCTCCGATGCGGACAGTCCGTCGTCACGCACCCACCCACGAAGTTGTCACCCCGCTTAGTCCTCCCGCACCTGTCGGATTCGCCCGTACCCGCAGTCCGTCGTGGCCCACGTCAATCCCGCGCGTTCGGCACCAGCCTGTCGGGTCGCCCAACTCCTACTCGACTCACCTCTTACTTCGCTCGTGTGCCGACCCTTCCTGATCGCGCAACCCCGAGCTTCCAACAACGGGTTAAGAGAGCTGACTAATCGAGCAGCCGAAATTTATAGCGTGCATGCATGCGCAAAGAACACGGAGTTACCAAGACTTAGAGTGAAGATTAGAGAGGGAACGCCTGCGCTCTGCATGATCGGCCGCGATGTGGGGGACGTAACCCTTCTCCACGCATCGATCCGAGCATGCAAGCCGCAACTTACAAAATTTCAGCAAAAGAAAGAGAGGGAGGGCGGGAGAGACGAAGTGCAAGAAGAGAGATACAGTTACAATGATGTTCGCCCAAAATTACAGTTACACACGCGATTAAGGGTGCCTGCTAATCAGAGTTCCGTTGCAGCCGCATGAAGAAGCGCATAAACAAAAGGCGCCGCGCGGCAGGGAAAATCCTAATTACTAAATTCCTAAATTCCTATCTAATGCGAAAAAGCAAAAAGAAGCACGAATTCAGAAGGAAATTCCGAAATTCCGAGAGCCATTGGGGGCTTAACAAAATTCGAAAAAGATTCAAGAGGAATTTCAAAAAAGAACGAAGCAATTTCCCGCGCGATGTCCGCGCCCAAAAGATCGAAAACCGAACCAAAAGAAACGACGTCGACATTAGTCGAGCGCGCGGGTGGCCTTGCGCCAAGCAACCATCCGACCAATCAATCCACCGGCCGTCCCACGACACACCCAGCCCCGAAGAAGCGACGAAAAAGACGAAGAAGCAAGGGTACTGATGCAATTTTCCACCGATCCCGATTTCCCGCAGTTGGCCCAATCTTCCCAGCTTAGGACCCCTCGTTGCAACCGCGCAGAAACTCGTGTGTTACAGAAAGTGGTTCGTCACATACGCTACCAAGCCTCCGCCATTTCCTCGTCCTGGCCGACTCTTGTCCGTAAAATCCTGGTTAACCGTGGTGAGATGCAGGAAGATGTGTAGTGGTCGAAGGGCAGGATCTGCACGGCGTATATGCCAGGATATGGAAGCTGATCAGGGGCTTCGTCCTCTGGTTATAGATACGAACCTTGTTTTGGAGCCCTTTTGGAGAAGGAAATGATTATCAACCTTGTTCAAAGAAGTTGACTGGGCTGCTCCTTATTATTTGTGGGGGTCGCGACATGGGGAGTGTTGTGCTGCATGTGTTGCTGGGTGCTTTCATTGACTTTCTAGCAAGTAGCGGTGATGCACCTGCAACAAACTACGCCCATGATGATTTGCTTGTAGGTTTGGTTTCTGCTTTTGTTGCTCAGGATTGTTAGTTCATAGTTGTAGGCTTGGTTTTCCATTCGTTAATCACGGACGCTGGACCCGCTTTCCAGCAGGTGAAGCTCCCCATCAATAGATGGAGTCTGTCTTTGGGGCTAGGGGCGATTGCTCTTATCAACACCCCTGGCACCGCAAGGGATGTTTTCTCAAAAAAAAAAAAAAAAGTTCCCAGCTTTTGGTTACAGGGGGCTGGGTTATGTGAGCCAACTACGGTGGTTTATAATTGCAGAGTCAAATTAAGGTTGTTGACTAATAAGGCGACTGTGGATTTTCGGGATTGGGACATTGGGGTCTGGATTTCCTTGTTTTTGAGGGTTTTGTATTGATTGAGGTACTTTGTTATGCTGTGGCCAGGGATCTGCTTGGCCGGTGTGCCTTGCTCATCCTAACGACCGCGACCAATTATGTACGGTATATGCTGGGCCCGTTTCCCAGCATATACAAAGGGAGAGATAAGTTTTTCTTTTTAAACCACCAGTACCTCGCTCAGCTGTCGGCCGCGGGCCTTTCCGTATACGCGCCTCAACCTTAGGGGGGTCGGCCAAGGGAAGGCCTGGTCGTAGCGCGAAGGCCGGGCCCCGGTTCTGTAGGGACGACACTACTACAGAAACAAAAAAAGAAAGAAGGAAAAAATAATGAAATACACAGAAGGAAAGTCGCGCGGGAGGGAGAGAGGGAGGGAGAGAGGGAGGGAGAGAGGGAGGGAGAGAG